ATTCAAGTATATCCAAGGAAATGTTCGGTATCCGATCAGATAATTACCCTACTGGATATCCAATATCTGATGTTCGATAATTTTACTATTCAGTGTATCCCTAATTATTATGATCATTATTTAAAATGAAAATTATAGCTTTATTAATTAAATTGTCGAGCAAAGAAGATGGGTGAAATTGCTGGATTTTGACTTAAACAATGGAACCTCTTATGCGGTTTTCTTGTATTTTTTTTATGTACTGCATCATGTAGATACGTTTATTTCAAATTGATCTGATGGCAACACGTTGAAAATCGCATTAAAAGTAACATAATTTCATCCAAATCTAGTTTTTTATTGCAACTTTCAATATTTTTCCGTCAGTTTAGCTTGAAATTAATGTTTGCAAATGATTTAACATATAAAAAAAAAATACATATAATAAAATAAAAATGCATAAGAAAGATTCCATTACTTTAATCAAAATTGATCTATTTTATTCATTGTCTAGGGTCTAGGACATTGTATAAAATAGCCAATTTTAGCCTAAGCAATGGAACTTTTTTTTATGTATGTTTCTTTCGTACATTCGATGTGCTAAATCACTTGCAAACGTTAATTTCAAGCTAAACTAATAAAAAATCTGGTAATTTCATTCAGCCTCCTTTATCGAGAAATATCTCAAAAGTTGAATGGCGATAAATAAACGATAGACTATTGACGAGAGAAATAATATAATTTTTTCTTCTTAGAAAGACTTTGTTTGATGCATATCCTGAGGATCCAGATTATATGCCACCACCAGAAGATCGGCCAGGTGGCTTCAATTGGGGACAAGAAGCTAATGTACAATAATCGAAAAATTCAGCATTCTCTTCTTGATGCTGTTTCTTGCGTTGAATTGTCCGAAGATTGATGCTATCATTGTTCCTTTCAAATTATGTATAACAATTTTTAGAACCTGGGTTTGTATGCAAAGATGTACAATGTGATACACGTAAAAGATAATATATGTATAGGGTGTATAAGAGATCGAGCGATTTCATTCCATTAAAGATCTTTCGAAAAACATAATAAAAGCATAAGCTGATATTTTTTTAATAAAAATTCGATACCAATATAAGATTTTACTTAAAGATTGCGATTAATAATCTTCAATAATAATCAAATTGTCATCGAAGGAAAGTCTTTTCAAGGAATTAATAAATATAAAAGAAAAGGCTTAATAAAAGACAAGCCAAGTATTGGTCTTTCTTTTATTATTTTTTAAAATTTTTGAGCCTTAGTATATAATTGTTAACTTCTCAAGAAATTTGTAGACAGAAAACGCGCGAATATTTATACACTCTGCATATAGTCGAAGAAGCTACAGAGAAACGCACTTAAATAATCGGTAAACTTTATTGATTTTCCTAAATTCCATTTATACATTCATATGTGTTTTTCGATATTCGTTTCTACGTATAGAATCTATATTAGCTTTGGAAACCAAATGTTGCTTCTAATGCTATTGCAGAAAATATGAATTAAATTGTTTTATTTAGAATACCGCGAACAGAATGTCGCGTACTTTATTTTGTTTTTCATAGGTTTTTCATTAAGTTTGAAATGAGTTAAATTGTAAGATTAGTAATTTTAGTTGTTATTAAATATTTCAGTCTATAAGCTGTTTATACGATCCTAATATCGTATATAATAACTTATTTCATTCTAAACATGTACTGAGTAAAATGTTTTAGTAATAATAAATATTAAAGTTTGTCGTATCCCGCAGATTTATATCTGCTGCAGAATTTAAAATTCTCTAATTCGATAGAAATAAAATTTTAATGTACGCGAATGCAACTGAATTAGCATTCCGAGGGTTATACTTCTATCTGTCGCTAGAGAATAAACTTCCGGTTCAACACGGGAATTGTAATTTTCCACTCGCGAATTAATTAGATTTATTATATTGAGAATGTCACTTTTGTAAGATATTTGCGATCAGTGGTAATTGTGATACACTAATTGTACTCATAGTTCTTGCAAGATCTATGATGGAAGAAAGAGGAAAACAATGCCATTGTGACAAGGAGAGTATTTTAAATTGTACTAAAGTATTTATTTATATTTATTATTGTAGCGAAGTGTAATCAATAGGTAACATCTACAAAGTACAAATCGTTAAATATAAATTGAAAAAATAATATATATACACTTCCCACACTTTGTTCATACGTGTATATTATGTACTATATGAATACAATGGAGATTTTGCATTGATAGTTAATAACTGTCGCTTCTTTTTTTCATTACCTTTTCATTACAGAATGATGGAAAGGTAATGTTTTTTTTTCTAGGACCAATCTATTATATAGTCAATTACTAAGAATTATTTAAAGTGTGAGTTAAGTTTTAGATAGTTTTGCATCTTGAAATTTTTTTTTCTTATTTAGGAAAGGTGGATTATTTTTTCCAAATACGATTAATAATTAGCTTCGATGTAACTTTTTCTGTGATTCTCGTGAGTGCTACGTGCAGTTATCT